GAATATTTAATTCAGAGGACTCACATAAAATGTTAAAACTGTGAACTGCCTAGCTTCCTCATCTATACTTGAGTTGGCTTCAATGCAACATGTTACTTTCAATGTTTATACATAATCACCTTTCACTCACAGTCCTGATAAAGAGAAATTGCATTTCTTTGGAGATGGAAGCAATCTAGATAGTGGTTAAAGGGAAGTGTTGATGAACACACAGTTGCAGAGGAGATGCCTGGAATTTTTAATGACTGGCCTGCAAAGAATCAGAAGCACTATTTATGGGAGCACTGACCTTCCTACCACTTGAACATCACATTTTAAATCAAAGAAAACAAAGATTTTAAAAAGAGGGAACATGTGGCCAAGTGTGCACACGGTAGTCCCTGGAATCAATTTACTCCACTGAAGGACACTTTAAATGGCACAGTGTTTTACTTCATTCTTTGTGAGTTTTTGTTTTGTTTTTGTTTTTGATACTTGTCTTCTCTTGGCCAGATTGTTGGCCGACAAACTATTTTCAAACATTTGTATGACTTCTGCTTATGTATTCCAGAGAGGGAAAGACCTTTTGTAATAGGTAGTAAAAATCAAGCCAAACAGATAGTCAGGGTTGTAATTTGCCAAAGGTCAAAGGTCATGACAAGTGAATGACTCCAGAGGCCTTGGGGTCAAAAGTGCAACTGGAATCCCATAACCTCCATTAGGCTTTTTACATCACAAAAGAGAGCAGTGCTTTGCTAACTCCTGTGAAGGAATCCATAGGCATGCTCACATTTTTCCTTGAAAAATTATTTCAAAATGATTCTGCCCATGATTGCTTTTTCCCCTTGAAACCAAATGGCATGAAATAGGCTTTTATATAAATTGAATGTCTTCTTAGCCTTTCCTTAGTATTTTATATTGGCAACCTACAGGAGGAAGAACTAAGATTAATATGCATTTTTTAAAATTGAAAATAAGCACTTTTTTTTTTTAGAAGAACAAAACCCAAACCAAGGAAGGGCATTTATCTTCTTTGTTATTTCTTTTTCCATCCCCTGTGTATTTATTGGGTGTACCTGAAAACTGTTTTCCTTGAAAAAAAAAAAAAAATAAGAGCAATAGTAATCTTGTGTGCTTTCCATTTGGGGTCTCTCTTTGTGCTATATCCTTAAGACATGTCCAAAATAAAGTTTTGTGACTGGAAACAGTCTGGTATTATAATTTTTGTTCTGCTTTGTGTTTTTGCTAATTTAAAACAAGTAAAACTTCAGTGATAACAGGGCCACTGTCTAGGTCAGAATGTGTGGGGTAGATCCCACAACATATTAGTAGCTATATCTATGCCATGTGAACCGGAAGAAGAGTGCAGAACCTTCCTTTTCAACTCCATTGGTTTCTAACCTCTCATGTGCAATGAGCACTTAATTCCTCATAGAGAAGGAAATAGTCACTCTGTAGAATCCTGCGGCCCATGAAGGGTAATTGGATAACATCTTTTGAAAGATTTACAAGGCTGCCAAGGATTTTGCCAGCTTTAAACCTGATTGATTCAGTGTGAAAAGATCTGAACAATTCTGACCTAAAAGTTTAAAGGCAGACCTTTCCTGTGAAAGTATAATTTAAAAGCTGTAATAAAATTGTATTGGAAAACACCACATTGAAGAACACAGCCATAAATTGCAAACTTTGCATTATGTTAAAGGACACTTTTCCCCCCTTAAGTCCCTAATTGTTCACCAGAAACTTTAATAATGAGGTGATTTTGTTTTTGCTTTTTATTTTTTTTTCTCTCCTGGGAAAAGTCCCTAAAGAAAGACAAAACTATCTAAGAAATTTGATTTCTTGGTTGTACATAAAGAGGAGTGTATGCAACTTCCTTGTATTAGGTAAAATAAAGAAAAGTAAAATTGCACTTATCTTTAACAAATAAAGAGTGGACAAACAGTCTTGTTCCATATTTGAATTTTTCAAGATGCTGATTCTCATCATATATTAATTTCCATTTTGACAAAATAGATGCACAGATACACTCATAATTAGTACAATATTTTGTGAGTAGAGTAGGCTCAAATGCTTGTGATGACTCAGACAGATTGATGATTAAGTATCTTCCGGCTAATTACTCCAGGCCATTAATTATTTATCCAACTCCATAAGTCTTTCATCTATTTTAACCTCTCCCTTCCACTGCCCATTTTAGAAGAGGCAGGCTAGGAAAAGCATAAAAATTTCAAGTAAGCAAAATTAAGTAGAGCCCATACATCTTTTCTTTTTTTTTTCCTTTTTCTTTTTTTTTAGAATCAGAGAAAAATTGATACTATGGTATTTAGACAAAAGCCTATTTATCTTTAACAATACCTCCTTTGTGACATGCTCACTAACTTTGTGTTACCTTCTCAAATTTCAGTTTGAAAGATTTAGGGAAAAGTGCCATGTGCTCACTTACCTGTGATTTGGGCGATATGCCATTGGCCTTTTGATTCTTAGAATCATATGAATTAGTCTTAGATGTTTAAAATGGGAATCTTGATTTATGGGTACTTTTGTCACTACATACATATTTACATGGGATCAGGAATGATTGCTTCTTATTTACATTGGTGAGAATACTAACTTTCCAACACACCGAAAGCCTGTTGTAAAGGACAAAGCAAAAGTAGAACTATGGCCCTAAGAAAAGAAGTTTCAGTTAAGAAATATATAGAGGAGGAGCCTCTTCCGTGTAAACCAGTTTGTTCTGAGAAAAGGCATTCAGGAAGGAAGGAGGGGACAAGAGCTGGTTCTCACGTTTCTTTCCTGAAGAATTAGGCAATAAGTTAGCTCAGGCTTTCACCCCTTCCACACTCGAACTAGAGTTAAGTGTCTAGGAGGTAATTCAACCTGCCACCTTAAAAATCCTCCCTGAATTGTGAATGAGAACAGTTTCCCCCTTCCCCATTGAAGTAATCAAGAGTTGAATAAATTTCTCTGTATCAACTTCCAGCTGCCTGTTATCAATTTCTGCAGGACGTGTTATCCCGTTGGTCTACAACAGTATTTTACACTGGCATGGTCCTCATAAGCTTTTTTTCACAACGTTACAGTCAATTGAGCTGAAAATTGTTAACTACTAGAAAAATACCCCAGGATGAATGAAAAGGCATACTAGGAATTGGCAATGAAAATATTTTTTATATGTTCACATCACATCGAATGTCTTTATACACGTCATCTACCAATAAAGGCTTAGAACAGAGACAGACTTTGCAAGATGCCTGATTTTGAGTTCTGGTGCCACCTAGTGTAAAGGAGGAGAAGATGCAAAAGAGGCCTTACTTGAATTATGGACCAATCCCAATGGATCAAGACTATTGTCTGGTTAATTTCCTTCAAATCACTGTATAACTTTCCTGATGAAACACTTTTCAGAGCTTCCTATCAGTTAAGGGATTAAGATCAATTGCCTATTTTTCTGATATTCAAGGCCTCCAACCATCTGCTTCCAGCCTACCTGTGCAGCATGACTTGCAACTACTCCTCTCCTTGAATTTGTCATAATAGCCAGGTTGGTCTTGCAAACAACATTCCTCACCTTTACTCGTGTTACTTATCTGGCCATCAGAGATTCTTTTATTTTCTTAAGATCTCATATTTGGAAAGATCTTAATGTTGGATTAGATGTCTTCAATACTTGCGCTTCCTGTAAAATTCCCTCATTAGTAAGTCTTCCTTCCTCTTCTTGAACATCTCCAGGAGCAGTGAATTCAAACTGATCTGAGATACCTTTCTATATATTTCATCTACTTCTGGTAAAAAGTATTTACTCCTATTAATCCCCCTGATCCAGCTCTAGAGCAAGGCGAATGCCAGATGTAGGTGTGGGCTCAGCCCACAGATTCTAGAGCAAGTTGAGTTCAAATTCCAGTTTTGCCATTTTCTAATTGTGTGACATTGAGCATATGACAAGTTCCCTGCACTTCAGTTTCTTCACTTGTAAAATAAGGATAAGAACAATGCTTATTAAATCAAGGTTGTGAATCAGCTTAGGTGTGTGGAAGTGCTTAAAATAGTATGTGATGCATGGTATATGCTTTACAAGTGTCTGATTTATTATGTTAATAGCTTTGGGAAGTCATCAAAGCTGTATGGTTGTATATAATGGGACCAAATGAAAAGAGTGTATTGAAAGTATATCTCAGTGTATATATTTGGAACACTTCATCTATAAGATGGTCCACTGGGCCATCAGATGGAGAGATGCTGCACGCCACATGCAGCTATATGCTATAGCCAACTCTATGCAGACATATGTACATGAATATGGGGTAATCAGCATCATCAAGGCTGTCAATTCCTGACATATAACAAGCTACTTTACTTTGTCTAACTTGGCATTTTCTAAACCTGTTTGAGCCAAGAATCCTTTTGAGTGTAACATCTTAACACAAACTTATGTTTCAGGAGGGGGATCATCAACTCAAAACCTTTAACACAAAACAAATTATGTAAACCAGGGAAGGAGGCCAGGTGAAAGACAGTATGGAATAGTATGAATTATGGGGGAAACTAGCGGACAAATATCCACTGAAATGCATTTCAGTTTGGCTTGTGGAAAACCCTGCATAGACAGAAATAATCTTCAAACTGAATCTGGCCTATGTTCAGCATATTTGTGATTCCTGTAGCATGAGAAAAAAAAAGAGCTAACTGAATAATCTGGGGAAGAACTTATTTTTAAAGATAATAAAGAGAAATTAGCAAAAGAAATTGTGGTGAAAAGGTAAGAGATACAAGAAAAAGTAGCATCCTGTAAACAAAAATAATCTCAACAGGGAGGTCATCTCTGGGACCTCTAGAGAGGGTGCATGCATTCCCCATTGCTGCTGTTACAAAGTACCACAAACGTAGTGGCTTAAAACAACACAGATTTATTACTTAAAGAGTTCTGTAGGTCTGACATGGGTATCACTTAGCTAAAACCAAGGTGTCAGCAAGGAGGCTCTGCTGCCCATCCTTTTCTGGCTCTGAGAGGCCACCTACAGTCCATGGCTTGTGGCTCTTTCCTCCAGAGAAGACGTGCGGAATTCAGTCCTTTTCACTTCACATCACTCTGGCCTCTTTTCCTGCCTCCCTCTTCCACTTTTAAGGAAATTCCAATTACATGGGTATTCTAGGATACTCTGTCTATTTTAAAGTCAGCCAATTAGCAACACTAATTCCATCTGTTAACATAAACAAGTTATTGAGACCTGTAAAGAATTTTTGTGAGTTTATTTGAGCCAAACTGTTGACATATGCCAGGAAGCAGAACCTTAAGGAATTGAGATAATGCTCTGGAGAATGGCAGCTTACATCTGTATTTATACATTGCAACCAAAGGTGGGTTACATGAAATTCATTGATGATCGATTAAGGAGGTGGGATAAAGCAAAGCGGAGGAAACCCCTGGGATTGGATAAAAAATAAAATGATGGACACATACTTAGGTGGGTGCAGGAACAATTAACATGATAATGAAGATTTTGTGGCATCTGTCCAGGTGCCCACGACATTCGGTTGTGCCCCAGGGGCTCCAGAAAAAGGGAAGTTACAAGTTACCCAGACATTTCAAGGGTATGTTATCATAGAGGCAAAAAGACAGATAGGCTCAGTTAAGGTAGAGGCTGACCTTGTCAGTGAAGATACCAGCCTAGGATGTAACTGTCCACCATAACTGCGTTTAGTTAAAGTTTAATTTCAGACCATCCTTGGTGGTTATTTTAGGTCTCTGAGTTTGCAAGACTATCATGCAGGCCTCCCCTGACTTTGTCAGGTCAGCGTGTGGTCCCTCTCGTCCACACATCTATAGCTGTAATTCCCCTTTGTCACGGAATTTGTGACAACGTTAGAACAGGAACAGAGCCATTATTCTATCTCTATAGCTGAGAATAGATAAGAAGAATGGTGAAGAGAGACTACTGTGTCTATGAGAGCCAGGAGTAAAGCTTCCTCATCCCCCACACTCAGACTACACACCACCTTACTTTATAAGAATAAGAAAGTGGAGAAAGGGGAAGGAAATTGAAACTCACTTGGCCAGACATTAGGTTCATAATTCATGGCATGTGGCTCAACGACGTCTGCAAAAATGAGAATAAAGATGCCCCTCTGGAAGGTGGATTAGAGAAGGGGGCCTCTTCCAGGCAGATAAGCTCCCCAAAAGCCATCCTTCCCCTGAATCTGGGAAAGATGATTCCAAAAATATGTCCCTACTTCAGGCGGAGGCAGCCCAGTGGTAGACTGTGCGGAGAAAGAAGTGGGGTGTCCGTGCCGCCCTGGGCTGGGCTCCTTGCCTGGGGTGCAGCTTTACAGCCACAGGGGCAGTGGTACATTCTGGGCTCCTCTGAGGAAGTCTCTCTTCACCTCGTCATGCTCAGAGATAAGCTTCTACCATGGCCTCTCCCAAGCTTTGTAGGGCTTTCTCAGAGCATTTCTAATAGAATCGCTACATTATCTTTGTTTCTTACACAATATCTTGTTTCTTGAAAACAAAGCATTTAAAGCACTTTGTTTTCAACTCCAACAGAGTGTCTTTTAACCCCAGGTGTTGTCTAAATATGGCAAATTGTGTTGTATAAATATGGTGTTGTCTAAATATGGCAAATTGTGAAGGAGCTAAAAAAACATGAGTGAAATATGGAATATAGAAAACGAACAACAAAAATGGTAACTAATAAATGTGTGTTTGGGTTAGTTGAATATTTGATTTCCTGTGCCTGTGGCACCCTATTATTATCCTAAGGTAATAGGTACCTAGTTCTTTCTCCCTTTCCTCCTATACGCTGAGTCTTGGTTTCTTTTTTACTGCCTAAATTACTAACTTCAAGGCTTTGGCTTACTCATTTCTTCACTCATGTATTTATGAGCACTTGTCTTTGCCCTATTTTAGAAACTGATAGGTGAATCAAAGTCCTTGTCATTGAGATATTATATTATGCCATCCCACCTATGATCTCTGAAACTCCTGTAGGCACCCAACATGACTCCTCTTATTACTGACAGCTTCACCAAGAACAAACCCAGCTTTCCTCCTATTTGAGTGAACCACCCAGGGCAACGGGCACTCACTTTGCAATACTTTAATTGTAAGTGAAAGTCTACCTAATCAGATGACTAAGTTTCCGCTGCACACAAAGCAAAAGCAGCTGAGCAATGGCTGCAAAGCAAGGTAAGGCAAAACTCCACCCAGATTTCACAGATCCTAAGGAATGGATGGAATCTGCCACATCTTCATTCTTTAATGTGCCTCATCATCAGCTCTGGGAGCCCTTTCCGGCAGCAGCGAGCAGCCTGGGGTTAAAATAAGCAGTCAAAGAGCTCTTGGCTCTCAAGGGCTAAATGCTAGCTGCTACTTTGAAGCTGCTTCTGGGGCAATACAAGTTGACGCTTGAAGTCCTGAGCATTATTTGCTTAACCATATCTCCTTCATCTAACCTTCACAAAACCAGGAATTTCAGAGGTAAAATGCTGTACTTATAAACCTTATTCTTTGCAGATTTTCAAAAAAGGCACAAGAAGGAAAATGCTTGTCATGACTCCTTTGCTGTTTACCTGTACATCCTTTGTGATGTAACTTTAGGGATATTGTTAGACGGGGTTATGCAGGTTTTACACTTCCAAATGCCTAAATGAAGAGATTCATGAGTGGTTTAGAATGTGGTTTAAAGATCAAGAGGCATGAGGTATTTGTAGCCATAAGAGTATCATTCACACTTAAGAAAGCCTTATCATTGAAGATTTAGGTAGACTGGCAATCAATAAGTTTCTTACTTGCTGGAGAACTGACTCAAAATAATCCAATGCAGATCGTATGAATTGTTGACAATTGAAACAGTTTTGTTGTCTAAGAAATTTAAATGATCACTGCTGCTTGTTATTTTGATGTAAGAGCTATCATTTAATGCTTATCAGGTGTGCAGATACTTCGCTAGTATCGCCTCACTTAACCCTCAGTTTCCATTTTATAGGAGAGGAAAAAGAGGTACAGTTTGTCACCATTAGATATTAGATTAGTTAGCTAGATGTTAATGAAGGGACAGACAGAAGCAAAGAGGAGTTTGGACACCGAGTCTGTGTGCTTCACCAGGAAGCTACAGCTTCACACCCAAGAAATCATTCTGCATCCTAGAGGATTAATACCCCTTCCCGATCCTCTGGTACTGGATTGTCCTGGGGAGCAGGCAGGTACTTGCCATAGGGGCCTGTCAGTTGAACCTGGGGGAAAGATCACTGGCTGGAGGATGAAGCCCAAAGCAAGTCCTCCAAATCTTGGGAAGTTAATTGGTTGCTTTTTAAAAAGCTCTGGTTATCATCCCAGGAAATAAAGAGCTTCTCTCTCTCTCTCTCTCTCTCTCTCTCTCTCTCTCTCTCTCTCTCTCTCTCTCTCTCTCTCTCTCTCTCTCTCTCTCTCTCTCTCTCTCTCTCTCTCTCTCTCTCTCTCTCTCTCTCTCTCTCTCTCTCCTCACTAGCCCTGTTCTGTCTGTTGGTGTTCTTTCTTGCCTGGGAGTATGTGAACAAGTAGGTTCAGTGTCTATCTGGGTCACTGCTGACTGCGCATGGGCTCCCAAGAACTATGAAGCAGAAACTCTGGGCACTGGCTTTATTTTGAGCCTGCTAAAGACTTGGCTGGACTTTTTCCATGGTGAGACTGAGGGGAATGGGACATTGGAAGCCCAGGGGTAAGGGCCGTATCACCTTGTCACATCACAATCTAGTGCACAAATCCCTGGCTTTCTTTCCTTGCAATCCTCTGGAAAAGCCTGTTTCCCACCAACAGCAAGTTAATTTGAACCCAGGCAATCTGAGGATAAAGTTCAAGCTCTTAATTCTTTTATTTCCTCCTTTTTTTTTTTTCTTTGTTAATGCTATATGTGAAGCATGAGTTTATAACATTAGAGAGAAAAAACTGGCTACATTTAAGAAAGAATAAATTAAAATAGAAAGCAATTAATTGTTCTTAACATTATGAAGGATGTTTTAAATACTTATAGAGGAGTCATTTCATGTATGGAAATTTATATGGGAAAAGTTCTCTTTTCTGAATAAGCAATCACAGCATCAATCCTTCTGTTTTTAAATTTTTATAATTACCTTTCTCTTACATTCATTCTTAAAACTTGGTATTTTCTACCCAAATCATTAGTATACCATTATGTATATTCTCTCTCTCTCTATCTTTCAATATATGTATATGTTCATATACATATTCCATTATTTATTCATTAAACAACTGAGAATCATTGCCTTGCCCTCTTTATGCACTTCCAAATCTCTCAGATCTTCAATATCTGGAAAGGAAGTATGAGCAGTAGAATAACCTGTCGCCAAAGATGCTCTTATTCAAACCCTTGCCCAAGACTGACTGGCTGTGCCTCAGTATCTTCTCTCTGTGAGAGAAGCTGGACTGTGGCAGGAGCTGGTGGGGTTAGGAGGAGGATTAAACGCAATGAGGAATGTCAGTGGTCCCTTCCTATGGAGGAAATGTAGGAGTTGAATCTCCAAGTCTACTGCTTCACGTACTGGCAAAGACATAGTTTACGGGGGGTACTGGTTAAATTCCAGCCCCGCCTCTGGGAGTCCATAAACAAGGACCCAACATCAGCCCCACTTAGGCTAATCTGTCTGCTCTGTGTCAAACACAAGCTGCAGCTCTTATAATGACGGCTTTTCCTCCAGTATGTGGTGGTCTTTTCTCAGTCTCAGAGGGAGACTGAGAAACAGGGCAACAAAGACCTAGTAAAATTGAATTACTGAAAACTCACTGAAGCAATATACCCTGGGGCGTGTGTGATGGCAGCACTGTGTAATAAGATGAGTATACCCATTAGAAAAATTTTCAAACCATATTTTTCTCTATGGTTATTATCATGGCTGTAATAATTTTTATGTGGCCATAGGGTTAACACATGGATTGCTTAGATTTCTTTCTTGTGTATCATTCAGAAGACTAACCTTTTCTTTTGCCATTATACGATTCCTTAAAGGCAACTGAAAAGAGACACAAATGTTTTTAATAATTATTCTGCAGTGCTAACTTTTCTATACTTAGCACACATTGGGAGTATTTATAATTTAAAAACACTTTATCTTGAAATAACTTTTAGGTAATAGTTTTTGAAATCGCTCTTTTGGGATTATTGTAGCCATTGTGTAAAGGCAGCAGTTAAAGAAAGATTTGACACTTCAGAAAAATAAAATAAAAGAAACCACTTTTGGCATTGAAAAGTCATTTACAATCACACCTCAGACTTTAGCTGTTAATATTAGCAGGGATAGTTATAGCCGAAGGGGTCGTTACATGCTTATAAAGGGAGTTCCACTAAATATAGCAGCATTAGGAGAAGTGTTGACAAGAAGATCTGGAAACAAAACCTCAAGACAACTTTTTGATTTAAAATTCTATTTTTGTGTGTGTATGTGAGTGTCATTTTTGAGGAAACTTGCACTTTATTGCAACATAAAAAGAAATGAGAAAATAAGCCAAAGAAAATGTTATTAGGTCCAAAGTGGGAGGGCAATCTTTAAATAGGCACATAAACAGCCCATGAGACAGTGTGAAACTTTCTCTTTGTCTCCTTGTTGGCTTGTTCAAGAGACTAGCCTAACACCAATTTGCTTATAATACATTCTTTTCTTATAATTTTAATTGATTACATAAAAAATTATTTGTCCTAATAATTATTATTGATTTTCTTTACTATGGCAGGATTAACATTCTTATAAATATTACACGAGAAAATTTTAAATTCTCATTGAAAATATATTTCCCTTCAGGTCATGGACATAGAAGAGGGCAGATTTGGTCTCCTTACTAAAATCATATCATTGTAAACCAGGTTATTTTGATGACAAGATTTTCTTTCTTTACATCTTCTATAAACATATCAGAAAATAAACCCAGAGGCATCAGCTTATAGGGGTTTTCCACAGAGAAGATAACTTATAGAAACAGTAAACTCTCCTATTTTCTTGTTCTTTACAACCCAAGGAGCTCAGATAACTATTTTTTAAATTATGTTATTGAAAAGAATGGGGACAAAATAGACAGGTTTAAGGAATAAAGAGGGTCCAGGGGGGAGGAATGCATAGGTGAGGGCTTAGAGCTGCCAGAAGGCATCCATTCACAGAGAACAGAAAACTGTCACAGGATAAGGTGGTTTAGTGTGTGGTAGGAAGGCCTACATTCTCAGAGGATAAAGTAAAGTCACACAAGATATCAGGAAGAAGGAAACATACTTTCACAAAGAATAGAGAAATGTCGATAAATGTTGGAAAGAGGGAACATATTTTCACAGGAGATAGAGAAATGTTGCAAGATAAGGTGTGTGGGGGGGGCACCACATGGGTTTTGGACTTTGAAACTGATATTCTGCAAAAGAGTGACCAATTAGGAAAGCACATCATCATCAAACGGGGAAAGGGTCCAATTAGAAGGGAGCATAAAGAGACAAAGAACTTCCAGCCTTTAAAACCTTAGAAAAAGGGGCTTAGTTTGTTACCCCATCGGGAATCCTTCCCTATGGGGGAGTTTGTATTTGCATCTAATAAATTCCCACCATTTTACTAACAAGCCCTTTTAGTCCATGCATTTTACTTTTCAAACTTCGTGAGGCAAAAACCTGCAGAGAGGAGATCCACTCCCCCAACCCCACGTTTCATTATGGAATAGCAATATTTTCAGAATTGTATTTGAATTATTAAAAGACGGTTAGAATCAGTTAATAAATTGAATGACTACATTCATTTCTTCAGGTTTGTCCTTCAAGGAATCTGAATTCAATCCCAGTGACACAGCATTTTAGATATGAGATGTTGGAAAGTCACCTAATCTTCTGAGAGTTTATGGAAGGACAAAATGATGTCATATAGTATATAGAGAGGCCTATAGCAACCCTGCCTCACAGAAAGTATTCATGAATATAACCCAAGTTACAGATACACAGTAGTGATTTAGATAGCTAAAGTATTAAATTAAGTAAAAATGTCCCCATACTCTGATATTCTAGATATATCATAATTCTCTGAAATGCTCATAGTTTACTCCAATTTATGTGAGCCCCTGCTTAAGTGAACCAGGACCTAGTAGTCATTCACTAGTCGTTTGAATGACTACAATTATAGAATAAACATGTTTAACAATTAATTGTTTGGCTTCCATTCATTCATTAGGTATATACTAATGAGCCTCTGCTCTAAGCCAGGCCTTGGTCTCCGCAGTGGAATATAATGGTAAATCGTTCTTGCCAGTGTGGAGCTTATATTCTAGAAGGTAGAGGGAGCCAACTAAGTAGAGAAACACTTCACCAAGATGACATCAAATAATGGTAAGTACTTGGAAGAAAATAAAAAATATAAAAGCTGTACAGGAACCAGTGGTGCCTCTTAAAATTGGTAATGTCTTAAATTTGATAAAATGCCATTCACCTTCATAGACAGAAGTTAAAAGGAGTGAGGGGTGGGAGGGTGACTGTGCAAACTTTTTTTTTGTGTGTGACTACTTTTTTTTTTCCCTTCTTTTCTGAACCTGGTTTATTTCTTAATTTCCCTCTGGCCTTTTCCTGGTTCTCTGCTGCTAATGTTTAAATGGCATATCCACTTCATTAATTTCCAGCATTTTCTAGCACATAAACCTCTAAGGACAGGTCAAAGACTGAATCTCTGGCCACAAGTAAATTAAGTGGATGTTTTTCCTAGGATAGCATATGCCTAGAAAGGTTATGCTTTGTTTTAATGAGTTCTTACCTAATGCAAAATAAACTTTGAATTTATATTTCTTGTCTTTTTTAGTCTAGAAGTTTTTTCTGTTGTAATTCCCATTAACTAAAAGAAGATATGAGACCATACATAAAGATTTTTAATGTGCAAATTGATATAAATTGCCAAAAAACCGCACCCACATTACAATGAAAATTTTGTCAAATTTTTAGTGTTTAGCCACAGCACATTAAGTAGGACAATTGCATTTTATATTTAATTTTCCTTGAATGTCACAGTGACGAAGGCATTGGTTTTCAGATTCTTTTAATTTTGCTTCTATAATCTGAATAAAACTACTCCACTGAGGCCAGTTCAAATGTGTTAACATGATTAATAGAAACACAAATCTTAATTCCAAAAGTATTGGAAAGTAAAATGTCTTTCTTGATGTTTTCTGTAAATGTTTCTGACATAGCCAGAAAGCATATTTTTAAATAAACTACCTCCAGTCTAAAGGTTAAGTGCATGAGCTAAGAGGCACAGTTCCTGGGTATGAATTCCAACTGCCACTTTTCAATTGATTTTTGCAATGTACTCATTTTCAATGTTCCAGGGTTTTCTCATGTGTAAAATAGATGTTTCTAAGATTAAATTAGTATCTTATAGGGGTTTTAGGAAGATTAAGTTGAGTTCATACATACAAGTCACTTAAAAAGTACCTGTTATGTAATTAATAATCAACAAAATGTTTATTGTGATAAGTCTCTAAAAGCTTTTATATATTGTTCTTCCTAACAGTGGCAGCTATTTTTCAAAAGTCTCTCTCTTGTTTCTTTAAAAAGTCTATTACATTACCACACTTTTGTTCCAGATTACCTGATATTTTTGTTTGTTTGTTTATTTATTTTTTATTGTTTAAAATATTACATATATTAGTACATATATCTCGCGCCCCCCCCCCCCACATTGACCTTAGATGATCTGATTTTTAAATTTTCTCCCAAGTGTAGCTCAGTTATTTCTTATATAAACCAACTTAGGTTGTACAGGCAGAATTCTCAACCCATTATTCCAGTTAGCCCAATGAAAGTCTGAAGTTCAGCACAAGTCTGGAGCAGGTAAATAATCTTTCTAAGAAATAAAGTGGTAGGGAACTGAGGTTGGGAAGTTATTATGTTCATTGTGGGAACATTTTCAATTCAATTTGTAAGTGTTATATAAATGTATAAAATAGAACATGAAGTCATTTGGCCTCTCATCCCATGATTGAAAATATATGCTGACAGATATTTTTAACAATTAATGAAATGAAATTCAATGAGTCAAGTCTGGACTGGAAGACAGAGTGTTTTATTGATTTCTCATGGAGCCTGCCAAAGTACTATTCTTCTTTTTGAGTACAGTTGGATAACACATTTAGAAATGACCTACAGGAATATTTTGAAGGTTCATTGTCCAGAAATAAATGTTAGTACTTTAAGAAGATGACAAAAATATTTACAATATGTATTTTAATAATATATTAGGTCCAAATACAATGGTATGCTGGTAAATGTTTAGCAGCTGTGTCCTCCATCCTCCTCACCCCAAAGTGCATCAACCCCTTTTTGCTGCATTTTCTTGTTTCCATGGTATAAATACTTCTACCATGGCTAATTTCAAGGTCCAGTATAATATTGCTGAGAAGAGTTAGGGAGAGATAGATATTTCCACTAGAAATACAGGATGTCCCCCAAAACTGTATACACACTTTACCAGCTGAGAGCTCAATTTTGAAAATGAAGTGTATTTTAATAAACACTGCCTTCATAATTATTCAAAGTGTGTATATACATTTTTTGGATACCCTACATATAACAAATATAAATACCCTCAAGGACATAGCTAATAAGACATAAAAGGCATTAAAATAACGAGGAAGGAATGAGTTTTGAGCATTTACTGCCTTTGATTTTAATGGAATTTATTTAATTTTAAGTTTATATAATTCTTTTTTTTTTTTTTTTTTTTTTTTTTTTTTTTTTTTAATAATGGCTGTGCTTAGTGACTGACTTTCAAACTTCCTGAAAATTTAAAAATGGACTCTTATGACCTTATATGTGCTGGCTCTAGAATGTTACTCTGTATATATGCTATCTGATATTGTTTGTTTTAACATAGGTAAAAAATAGTAAAGCTTGAACTCATATGATGTCTGCCTTTCCCCCAACCCTCCCTTCCTTCCTTCCTTCTTTCCTCTTCTGTCCCACATTGCTCTTCCTCCTCTTTGTTCTTGGTGGTTTGTTGCACACATCAAGGACTTGAATGGGCAGAAGTCAGTTTGGACAAATAATAAAGTTACTCATTTATGGTGTTGACATGGGGATAGAAATAAGATTTTTATAATACACACTTTCATTATATTTTTTGACATATGTACATATCTACCTAGATACAGTAGAAGATCTATTTTTGTTTCTATGAAAACCAGTTTGAATGCTTTGGAAAAATTCTAAAGATGAGTCACTGAGAAAGGGTTTCTAGGTCTGAGCAATAACTGTGAAAAGACTCAGATAAGGAATACCATCTGATGTTTTCTGTTTCAGATTCTGTTGCTAGTACATGTACGGTCTTAGACCCCTTTAAAAAAACACAGAACTGGAAATTTTAGATAGTGAGTTTCTGAATGTGGAGAGTAATAGCCTGTTAACTTATAATAAAAACAAATAACTATATATAAAGAAAGGTGAACAAATATATGTGTATTTATGTTAAAATAAAAATTAATTATTTCTAATGATTATTTGCTTGAACTCCCCCCATTAACTAAAATAACTACCATTCCATTGTTTTCAAAATTATGTTCACTAAATTTTAAGTGAAATGAAGTAGGAATGTTGTAAGTCAAACCAGATCATTAATAGATTTAGTTGTGTCTTTCCATACAATTTAAATTTTACTGAGTTCAAGAGAAAAAAAGAATGAATATAGTTAGATCACCTCTTTTGTTGAAATTATTATACAATGTACTTACTTTAGAAGCAAATTGCTGATTTCTAACAGTTCTTGTTCACATTTTGTTATGTAGTCCAGGCATAATATGTACTTCAAAGGGAAAAAATCAAAATTATTTTTCTTTCAAAAGTCATTGTCTTGAATGTGATTTTACAGATGACTTTGAGTGTGATTTTACAGATGACTTTTAGCTTTCTTTGTACACACACACACACACACACACACGCACACACACAATGCTTATTCAGATATTTTTATTTAAAATTAATATTAAATATATTAGTTATTCATTTTAATGTATATTTCTTTTTTAGCCTAATAAATGAATTTATATAGTTATAAACTAGGATTTAGTAATACTTTAAAGAGATATTTAATTAATGATTGGTGCTCATTAAATATTAACAGTAAATATTTTAACTAAATTCTTATTTGATGTAGTCAAATGTACTTTTTAAGTAATTTAATTTTATGACTGACCAACTTTCAAGTACTTAAGTAATCAAGTAATATTTTTACTTATTAAACTTATTAAAATGGTATTTGTAAATTCCATTAAATATCCAATACTTTTCATTAGCAGTTCATTGACACTTTTCAACTTTAAATCAGGAGCTGAAATAAATTATTCAGTGACATATATTAAATTGGAATTACAAGGTTGTATTGATAGGACAAATTCTCTTGAACATTACATATCATAGAAACTAAAAACCCAGATATCTTAATAAAAAAAATATTAACACCATATGCTTGATCTTAGGCCTTTCTGTACTTAATTTTATATCTTCCTTAGGTTTAATGAAACTTATTTGTTAAATTAATAATTTTATCCTCTCAAGCAATTTGGGGGATATTGTCTAAACCTGTTGTGACTACATAATAACCAGAGACATTTGACAGAATATTCATTATACAATCTTTCTTGACAATGATGGGAAGTCCTAGGTTGAATTTATAATTTCTTGTACTTAAAGGCATAACTCTAGTAGCCCTAGAAGTCTATTTTCTAAGGCTACTCATGGAAATCATAAATGCTCACCCATGATGCTCTATATTATCTGATTGGACTCTGCATTTTTTAGCTTTTCATATTTAAATATCATCTTTTGTAAGTTATAAAAATCTTCAAAATCTAGAAGATTCTACATTCATATTCTTTTTATGTCTTTGAGGTGATATAACTACTATAAATATAATAATGATATCTGACTAAAAACTGAATATATCTCATGGCTTTATCTATTTGGCCCAATCTTCAAACATCTTTCTATGGTCAGAAAAACATTTGAGGCTTTCTGTTAGTTTAAACATGATCAGAGTGGTGATTTTATGATTTTACCACCAAAAGAACAGAGTAGATGCTTGCTGAAGGGAATTCATCAGTGCTGTTTGTTCAGTCTTCTTTTTCTGATTATGTAAATAGTAGAGCCCAGTGCATGAAATTTGTGAACGGGAAGGGTGTGGTGGTTCCCCTTAGTCCAGTCTGCACCCTCTCCAATCTGGGACATCCCTTTCACAATCTAGGACCACTGGCTCCTAACTGCTCACCTGCCTGTCTGCCTGATTGCCCCCAACTGCCCCCCCCCCCATCTCTAGCCCTGCCTTACCCCTCTCCCCCCAGCCTGGTTGCCTCACACAGCCTGCTGCTCAGTCATTTGGTTGTCCCTCACTAACCTCCCTGCTGACCTGGTTGCCCTGAACTGACCCCGCTGTGGTCCTGGTTGCCCCATGCAGCCTGCTTCTGGGTCCTTTGGTCATCCCTCACTAACCCCCCTGCTGGCCTGGTTGCTTCATGCAGCCTGCTGCTCAGTCCTTTGGATGCTGCTGACTGTTTGCCCCCCCTCCCCCCCCTCAGCTAGCCTGGTTGCCCCAACTGTCCTACCTCCCTGCGGGCCTGGTCACCCCACACAACCTGCTGTTTGGTAGTTTGGTCTCTCCTCACTTTCACTAACCCCCCTGCCAGCCTAGTCGCCCCATGAGGCTTGCTGCTTGGTCATTTTGTACCTCCTCACTAACCCTCTTGTCAGCCTGGTCACTCCACATAACCTGTTCAGTCATCCATTCTGTTGTTTTGGATGCAAAGGTCACTTAGCCTTATATAATATATATATATATATATATATATAGATTCTATCAAACAAAATGTCTTCTTTATGAACTTAGATACTATGCCTATGGAGTGAGAATATGGAAAGCCATATTAGATTTTAAACTTCTTTAACTGTAATCACCAGATTAAATAATAACCTCCCTTTCACCCCTGGCCTCCTGGATATCTGTAGAAAAAATTAGCATCATTGATTTCTTATGAAAATTTTTGGAACATTAACACAGTGAACGCATAGATCACATGTGTCAAACACAAGGCCCGTGGGCCAAATCCATCCCGCCAGGCCTTGCAATGTGGCCCGCACCGCACTGTCATCACTGCACTTCGCTGCGTTTCCATCACAATGACAGTTTATGACTGTTCAGTAAACCATTCGGCCCGCGATTTAGGCTGGATTTTAGATTTTGGCCCCTTCTCTGATTGAGTTCGACACCCCTAGCATAGATCAAAGATGTTTTAGCCGAAAGCTGAGGTAAAAGCATAAGATGCCTACAGGATGGACTATGACATGAGACTGTTGGCAAAAGGGACATGGGGAATAAAGGGGAGGTGAGACAAGTTAGGGAATGCTATCTAATGTATTATTATTTCAATCCCTCTTTTCTGCATTTTGATGGAAAAATGACTTGCAAATTATATGTCATTTTACTGCATATTGCTAGAAAATATACTATACAAATCATAAATCAAATGGCAATCATAATAGCTCAAAATATACTCATAAATCTTAAAAATGTTCCTCTGAGGTGAGATTTGGTGTAGGCTAGTCATAACATGAGGCAAGACGGTGGTGGGTCTTACCAGTAAATCTGTTCAAAAAAGTCATTTCAGAAACTCTATCAGCCTAGTCCATTTTTCACTTTATCTAGATCTCAAGCAGTTACAATTCTCTTACCTGTTGCATAAATTGCCCTATTTATTGTTCAACCTCTTGAAAATATTTTCCAACTAAACTGTGCTTTTGTCATGAGGAGAAATTTTATATCCTTTAACCATGAAAGATTAAACTGAGCGTTTTTTAAATCCTCACCTGAGGATATGTGTGTGTGTGTGTGTGTTTTTTTAAAAAGTAATTTTAGAGAGAAGGAGAGAAAGAGAGAAAAGCACTGATATGAGAGAGAAACATTGACTGTCCCCCATCCTCTAACATGCACCTCGAAAGGGATTGGAACCTGCAACCTGGGTATATGCTCTGACTGGGAATCCAGCCTGCAACTCTTTTGGTGTATGGGATGATACTTCAACCAACCAGGCTACCTGGCCAGGGCAAAACTGAACCATTTAAGTCAAAAGCTTTTGACATTTGCTTTCAGGAAAGGGTTTGAGTTCTCAAAATTCAAATTATACTTTGCTAAATGATTTTGCTTGAAACAAGCTTCAAAAAATATGAAAATCAATAACAACTAGCTTTGAGGAACATATGACTTTTTAAACCAATGTTTTCACTTAAAAATGTTTTTAATTATCTCAGAGAGAAAGGGAGAGGGGAATAGAGAGGAAACATCAATGAGTGAGAATCATTGATTGACTGCCTCCTGCATGCCTCCCCTCCCCCCCACAGGAATGAAGCCTGCAACCCCGGGCATGTGCTCTGACCAGGAATCAAACTGTGACCTCCTGGTTCATAGATCAACGCTCAACCACTGAGCCATGCCAGCTGGGCCAGTATTTTTTTCTCTTTTAATTGTCTTTGTTGTTAACATCTGTGTTAACATCATCTACTCATCTGATGGATGGGTCACAGCTGTAGTTACTA